GTAAATAGTATTGCCTTTTGGTACCATGAATTGTGGGAAGCAATGAACTGTTCCTTTAACTTAGTGGACCCCGAGTTAACTTAAGCAGTTCGTTTCATCTAGTTTAACCCAAGTAGTTTTTTGGTTCCCGTTTACTTTTTTGGACCCCCTCCCCTCTCTCCTGGCGAAAATATACCTATCACTGCCGGCCCTGGCCCTGGTGATATTCCCCCCCCCCCCCCCCCCCCTCCTCCCCCCCTTCCAGTGATAGTGTGGCTCTCGCCTCAGCGCCGTGCACATTCGTTTTGCAAGTTTGCGAGACAGTTTCACGGATGGGGGGTGGGTTCTTGTCGTCAGAAAGTGGCTGTCGTCTCAGCGTCGCGCACGTTCGTCCTCAAAATTTGCGCAAGAGTTTCACGGATGGAGGGCAGGTCGTCTTCAGAATGTGGTTGTCGACTTAGCGCCGCGCGCCTTCGTGTCAAAAACCTGCAACAGTTTGACGGATGAAGGGCGGGTGCTTTTCAGAATGCGGTTCTCGCCTGAGCGTTGCGCGCCGTCGATCTAAGCGTTTGAGGAGTTTGTGATGGACGCGAAATGGGTCCTTTTCGGAATGTGGTTATCGCTTTAGCGCCGCGCGCTTTCTTTGCAAACGTTTGAATTAGCCTCTCGGATGGAGGGTGGGTCCTTGTCGGACTGTGGCTGTCGCCGTTAAGCCGCGCACGCTCGTCTTCAACAGTTTTGAGAACAAGTTTCGCAGATCGAGGGCGGGTCCTTTCAAACAGTGTGGCAAGCGCCGCGCGCATCCGTCTCAAAAGTTTGATCGGCTTCACTGACGGAGGGTGGGTCCTTTTCAGAAGGTGGTTGTCGCCTCAGCGCCGCGGACATTCGTTTTAAACAGGTGGTGCGAGCTTCGCGGATGGAGGGCGGGTCCTTTTCAAGACGTGCCTCTTGCTTCAGCGCCGCACGCATTCGCTTAAACATATAGCTCGAGTTTCACGGATGGAGGGCGGGGCCTTCTTCAACATATGGTTATCGCCCCAGCGCCGCGCGCATTCATTCCAAAAGCTTGCAAGAGCTTCGCGGATGGTGGACGGCTCCTTGTCAAGGTGAGCCTTTCGCTATCGCGCCGAGCACACGCGTCCCAAACAATTGCAAAGTTTTTATGGATGGATTACGGATCCTTTTCAAAATGCGGCTCTCGCCTGAGCGCAATGCACATTTTAAATGTGTATTGTACATTATATATATATATATATATATATTAGATATATAACAAGACAGAGCTTCACAGATGCAGGGCGGGTCCTCTTCAGAATGTGCTAATCGCTTTGGCGGCGCGCACATTCGCGTTGCAAGGTTTACAAGAGCTTCGCGGCTGGACGGCCTCAGCGAGCAATGTTCTAGTGCGACTACGTTCACGGTCCTTATTGCTCGCTTTTGCGCGCGCTCTCGCGTGCGCTATACAAACGCCAGTACCTAAAGGGCCTCGCAACATCGAACAAGGAATGGTGACAACCAATTACGTCGTTCCTGTTCTGAATGCTCCACGCGGGATCGTGTATTGTGACGCCCTGTGCGTTCCTTATTGCTCGTGCGCGCGCGTGCGTGCGCGAACGCGCGCGCGCGCGTGCAATGATGACAGCGCGCAGTGTTGACAAGCCATTTTGCGCGTGGAGGCCCGCAGAAGTGCAGTGAACCAACTGGCTTTCACCATCTAGTTTTCTAAATTCAGATGGTCATGGTTTATTGGTTTTCGCATGGGCCACACGAGGGCCAGCGCGCGCGGGCAACGAGGAACATGCGCGTGCCAGCATGCATTATTCCACGTTGAGGCCCGCAGGATACGAGCGAAACATTTGTTTTTCACCATGCAGTTTCCGACTTTAACGATGCCAGCAGATTACGAGTGAACCATTTGGTTTTCGCAAGTCAGGCTTCGAGTTTCAAATGGTCATTTATTGTTTTTTTTGTATTGCGCTCGCGGGGACAAGCGCGCGCGGGCAATAAGGCGCGCGCGCGCAGCGCCGCGGGAAATTATTGCACGTTGAGGCCCTGAGAATGCGAGTGGAACATGTGGTTTCCCCCAGTCACTTTTTGGACGTTGTGGTGGTGCCTCTTCCTTGTTGTCGTGCTGTGCGCGGGCAATGATGAACGTGCGCAGCGTCGCAGTGCATTATTCCGCGTTGAGGCCCGCAGAGTACGAAGGCATCATTTGGTTTTTTTACCATGCAGTATTCGAGTTGTAGATGGCCAGTCTTGATTGGTTTTTGCAATGCGGGCGCGTGAGCGAGCGCGCGCGGGCACTGCAGACGCCGAGCATTTTCGCAATATTTCATTCCGCGATGAGGCCCGCGGAATACGAGTGATACGATTGGTTTTCACCATTCAGCTTCCGAAGTTGAGACGGCCATTTTTTTGTTTTGCGTTGCGCGCGCCGGAGCACGCGCGAACGAGCAATGAGCGACGTGCGTGCTGGCACCGTGCATCCTGCCGCGTTGAGGACTTCAGAAAACGAGTGAAACAATTGGTGTTCGCAGTGTTCGAAGTTCAGATGGCCATTCTTTCTGGCACTGCGAGCGTGCGCCTGCTCGCGAACAATGGGGTGATTGCATTGTGTCGCCGCGCAGTATTCCACGTTGACGCCCTCGACAGATGGGTGAACCCATTGGTTTTCGCCGTTCAGTTTTCGATGTGAAGACGGCCATTTGTCATTTGTCTTGCATTGCGCGCGTGGGAGTGCGCGCGATCTGGGGAGCGCGTAGAACATGAGTGACGCATCTTTTCTCCGTCCAGTTTTCCCAGATAAGTTGGCCAGTCGCGGCGCGCTCTCGCATGGCGCGCGATCGCGCGAAAAGAAACGACGCGTATTGTGTCGCAGCGTATGCGTCATAGCATAGCGTGGCACAACGCGCGCTATCCTGCCGCGCGCGCGGTGCTTGCCGCCATTGGGGCTCGGCGCCCCCATGTTCAACAGCTGGCGTTTGCTCAGTCAGCTCGCCCAGCGAGCGCTTCAACATCGCGCGCAACTAAAGATGCCGAGTATGCAGGCCTCGCCGCCTCGCCCTCCCCCCGCTCCCGACGCCTCGGCCGCGAAGAATTGCCGACCGACTGGGGGGGGGGCCCGGGGCTGGGGGGGGGGGGGGCCTTTTTCAGCGCCGCTGAGGAAACTGGAGCCGCGATGGTTCGTGCGCGCGGTTGGGGGGGGGCGCAAGGTGGGCGGCGCGCATTCTCGAATGTGACCCTTAGTCGAGGAACAACCTGACAGGACCTGCGCGCCTCTCCTGGCGGGAGGGTTGGGGGGTTGGGAAGCCCGAGTCGTCGAATTAGTATACATCCTATGGGAAGAACGAGTGCTCCTCATTGACCCGAAGGGAACTCAAGCATTCCCTTGGCATCCTTGCCGCGCGCCTGGGGACTTAGGGTCGTCGGGGTGCCGCGCCCTGCGGTGATCTTCGTGGGCGCCGTTGTCGCGGGCCTGAGCGCCGCCCTGGCGACGTGGCTGAACCATTCCTGCAGGGCCCTCAGCGCGTTTGAGACTCTCGTCTTCGTCAGTGTTGCCTGATTGCTTTCCAAGGGCTGTGCGAACGTGGAGGACGTGGCTTGGCTGGGGGACAACGTCCCCGCTCGTTCGGGCCACGCTGAGGAAGCCCTCTGGGCTGCTGACGTCGCGCCGCCTGAGGCGATCAGGCAGCGCCTTGCGGCGGGCTCGAGTCCTGGATCCCCGAGAAGGATGCAGGGTGCTCAGCGCGCAAGGTGCTTAAGTGGATCAGCCTGAAGCACGATCGTTCCGCGTAAGGTGTCGCAGACGGGAGTGGTTCCGATGCTGCTGTCCTTCCCTTGTCGCCGCGGCTGGGTTCGCTTCGCGTTGCGCGCCGAGGCGCCCCCCGTGAGACGGCCGCGGGACAGCGGTGTCGGCATTATTCCGTGGTCGCTCAATGCGCGGCCCCTCGCTGTTTCCAGCGCTGGCCAGCAAGATCCTGTCGGCGGTTGAGGCGGGGGCTGAGATCGCACATTGCAGCAATGAGTTTTTCTGCCAGCAAGTCGCGGTCACGTGGGGTCAGCGATGCCCAGCTGCAGGCGCCGGGCCAACTCGCTGCGCCAGTGGGATATCGACCAACTCACCGATCACTCGCAGTGAGTGCGCGCCTTTCACCTTGCATCGCTGATGCCAGAGGCCCCTGCCCGACGCCCCAGAGGCGCTCGAGGCGTTCGGGCCCTCCCCCCTGCTCGAGTCAGCCCAGCAAGCTCAGTTCAGCCCTCCGCGTGCCTTTCAATCACCGCGTCGTGGCGATTTTTTTTTTGTTTTTTTTTTTTGTTTGTTTTTTTCTTCTTCTTTCCTGCCCTCTGGTGCAAAATGTTGAGGTTTGCGTGGGCCACGCTGCGTGAAGCAATCTCCCGAGTGCCAAGGTGTCGTGCCAGTTATGTTTCGCGAGCTGTATGGCGACGATGCACCTTGCGCGGTGTCAGTTACGCGTAGTTGTTTCGGCTGAGTTCGGCGGTGCACGCTGGATGCAAATGCGTTTGGTCAAGCTATTTCAAGTTAATTGAGCGTGAGCCTCTACAGCCTAAACCAAACTTACCCATCATCAGTACCGCCGTGAGGAGAAGGGCCCCCCTCGCCTGTCACCTCATGTGCATCGCCATTCCCCTCGCCGCCGCTGTCGAGGATGGGCGAGGAATTTCGGTGCACGGGTGCTGAATATTGCGGGTGGTGCAGCGGGGGTGGTTCTCTTGGGGCTGCGGGGCCCGTCAGGTCAGCCGCGGAAAATGGAGAGCGAAAGAGGTGGAGTGATGATGTTCCATGTCAGCGGGGCGGGTGGCAGATGCGCGGGAGCGAGGGCGCGCGGCCAGGTTCTTCGCAGATGCGCTGGGAGATGCGGCTCTGGAGCCCGCGCGAGAGGGGCGGGGCAACCCCGCGAGCCCATCCGAATGCGTCGTCCAGGGGGGCCCCCCTGATCGGGGGCGCGGCCAGATCTCCCGCCGCCTTCTCCCGGTGCCGTTCTGGTTCGGGCGGCCCCCAGCGGAGGCGATCTCGCGCCCCCGAGTCTCCGGCGCTCAGCGACCGCCGCCCTCGGCGACCATGTCGCGCGGGATTTATTTTCTCTCGCGCAGTCGCAGGCCTCGGCGTTGCTGGTGCTTGTGGGTCACGCGGGCCTGAGCGCGCTTCGCGCCATTCAGGTCTTCGGCATCGGCGTCGTCAGCGCGGCGATGGCCGCGATGGGGGCCGCGTGCGAGGAGCGTGGCCCTTATCTTTGGGCCCCCCTCCAGGAGTTTTCAGGAATTCTGTCGGGGCCCTTCGGGGTCTTGAGGGATCCCCGAGGAATCTTCGAGGGGTCCTTCAGGGGTCCTTTGGGCTCGGATGGCGTGGGGGGCCTGGGGGGAATCCGGCCGGTGCAGGCTAGATGCCAGTCAGGAAGTTCGACCGCGCGGCTTCGGGGCCGCAGTCCCCGTCGGAGCGGCAGATCGTCTCCAGCCTCGGGGATGCAGATGGCGCGATCGAGGCGTCGGGCGTCGCTCCGTCTGCCCGAGGCCGCCGGGGCCCATGGCCGAGAGGAGTTCGTTTCCAGTGAGCTCGAGTATGGAGTTCAGGGGCGGGCTTGAATTCATTATTTAAGTGGCGGGCCAATCAGAAACATTTAACCAGCGCGGCCCATCCCAGCGCTTTGGGTCGAGACGTTGGGAGGTCTTTCTGAATCGAGGGAGTCTGTGCGAGTCTCAGGATCGAGGATGGATGTTCGAGCAAGGATGGAGGTGCGATGTGTCTAACTTGATCCGGGGCTGTGGGGGCCCCCGCGGAGTCCGAATACTTTCCTCGACGATTCTTCCGGTTTCCTGCGGGCCCCGGCCGGTTGCTGAAGGATCCCTAGAGATTCTTGAAAGGTTCCGGAGGTTTCATGGGGCCCCTGAGAGATCCGTCGGGTTTCCAGGGGTTCCGACGGATTCCTTCAGATTCTGACAGATGCCTGACGCTTCATGTGGGGTTCCCGCGGGACTCCCGAGGATTCTTTCGGATTCTTGCAGGTTTGCTGCCGAAGCTTGGGGGGGTCGCGAGGATTCGAGAGGGTTCGCCAAGATTTCCTTTCTCGTGGGCTCTGCAGGTTCTGGCGGACCTATCAATTTGATGCGTCCAGAAGGTTTCCTGGGGAATGCGTGAGAGGATTCCTGGCCGTTCCTCCCGGCTTGCTGAGGTGCCGATCGTAAATCGCGCGGCGCCCGCGTCCCCGTGGCGCGATCGCTGCCAATTGCGCGGCGCCGCGCTCCCAGGGCCACGATCCATGGGAAGTTATGCTTGGCCGCCCCCGGGGCCGCGACCCCTTGCGAATTGCGCTGCGCCCGCGCTCCCATGGCCAGGACTTCACGTGCATTGAAATGTGTCCGCGCTCCCAGGGCCAGGGTCCATAGTGAATTCCACTGCCCGCGGCCAGATCCGTCGGGTTTCTCTGCGCCCCAAAGGATTGCCCCAGATTCCTTCCGATATCGGAGGATTCCTGTGGCCCCCCGAGACGCTCCTGAGGGTTCGTGCTGGCGTGCTGCCGACTCCTAGAAGGGTTGCGGCCCCCCCCGGGCGTTCTTCGATTTTCCCGGGGCTTCCTGTGCGCCCCTTCAGATTCTGGTGGATTTCTGAATATTCTGGAGGAATCCAAAATGATTCCTGCAGGATTCCTGAAATGATTTCTGCAGGTTGTTGAAGGGTCCTTCGTGGATTGCGTTGCGTTCGCGCTCCCAGGACACGATCCTTGCAAACTGCGTGGCGCCCGCGGTCCTAGGGCCACGATCCATAGGAAAATCACGGTGCTTGCGCACCCTCAGGGCCGCGATCCTTCGCGCCTTGTCATGCCCCCGCGCGCCCATGGCCGGGGCCCTTCGCGCGTCGAAATGTGTCGCGACCCCGTGGCCGCGACCCATCGTAAATTGCATGGTGTCCGCGGCCCTGGTGATTCCTGTGGGTTCCTTGTGGGGCCCCCGACAGATTCCAGAGGATTCCTGCAGGTTTGTGAGGATTCCAGAGGGTTCATCAGGATTTCCTGAAAGGGTCCTGTGTGCCCCGTCAGATGCTGGCAGATATTTGAAATTCACGGAGGAATCCGCAATAATTCCCGGAGAATTCCTGATCGGATTTCTGAGAGGATTCCTGCAGGTCGTGGAAGGATCCTTCGTGGATTGCGTTGCGCCCGCGCTCCTAGGACACGATCTTTGCAAAGTGCGCGGCGCCCGCGCTCCTGGGGCCACGATCCATGGGAAATAACCGCGCTTGGTCGCTCCCAGGGCGCGATCCTTCGCAAATCGCGTTGCGCTTGCGCTCCCATGGCAAGGATCTTTAGCGCATTGCGTTGTGTCCGCGTTCCCAGGGCTATGTTCCATCGCGAAATTGCGTCCGCGGCCTTGCGAGATCCGTCTGGTTTCTGAGGCCCCGAAGGCTTCCTTCATATTCCGATCGATTCCTGAGGATTCCTGTGGCCTCCCCGAAAGATTCCAGAGGATCTCTGCAGGTTTGTGAGGGTTCCAGGGGGTCACCAAGATTTCCTCAAAGCGTCCTGTGTGTCCCTTCAGAGTCTGGCAGATATCTGAAGTTTCCGGAGGAATCCAAACTTACTCTTGGAGAATTCCTGAACGAATTATTTCGGTATCTCCCAGGTTGGTGAAGGGTCCATCGTCAATTGTGCGGCGCCCGAACTCCCGTGGCACGACCCTTGCAAATTGCGCGGCGCCCGCGCTCCCAGGTCTACGCTCCATGGACAATTCTTATGCTGGAGCGCTCCCAGGGCACGATCCCTTGCAAATTACGTTGCGCCCGCGCTCCCATGGCCAGGATCCCTGATGCAATGCGCTGTGTCCGTGCTCCCATGGCCACGATCCATAGTAAGTTTGATTGGGTCTGCGACCCTGAGAGATCCGTCGGTTTTCGTAGCGCTCCAGAGGATCCCGACCGATATCGGAGGATTCCTGTGGGGTTCCGAGGGGTTCCAGAGGACTCGTGCAGGTTTGCTACCTGCTCCGAAAGGATTCGTGCGGATCTTTGAAGGTTCCCCGAGATTTCCGCAAGGCGTTCCCAGGGCCAGGATCCACAGTCAGTTACATTGTGTTTGCGGCCCTCAGAGAGATTCGCTTTATTTCGTAAGATTTCTTCAGATGCTTACGCATTCCCACCGATTCCCAAGGATTCCCGTGGGATCTCCGAAAGATTCCAGAGGATTCCTGCATGTTAGCTGCCGAATCCTGGGAGGATTTGTGATGGTTCCTGAGGGCTTCTCAACATGTCCTCAAGGCTTCCAATGGGCCCTTCAGATTCTGGCTTATCTGGAAATTTCTGGATGAGTCCAACAGGGTTCTTTCAGAATTCCTGAAAAAGGATTCCTGCGGAATCCTGCAGGTTGCTGAATCCCTCGGGCATTGCGCCGCGTCCGCGCTCCGAGGACACGATCTTTGCAAAATGCACGGCGACCGCGCCCCCAGGTCCACGATTCATGGGACATAGCGGTTCTTGCGTACTCCCAGGGCCACGATCCTTCGCAAATTATCATGCTCCCGCGCTCCCGTAGCCAGGCTCCCTAGTACATTACAGTGTGTCCGCGTTCCCACGGCCACGATCCATAATATCCGTCGGGGTTCTACGGGTTTTAAACGTTCCTCCAGATTCCTACGGATTCCTGAGGATTCCCGTGGGGTTTTCGAAGGGTTCCAGAGGATTCCTGCATGTTTGCTGAAAAATCTTCGGAGGGTTTGTAAGTGTTCCTGAGGACTCTGTAAGACGTCCTCAAAGCTTCCTGGGTGCACCTTCTGGGCGAGTCCAAACTTATCCCGGAAGGATTCCTGAAAGAATTCTTGCAGGTTGCTGAAGGATCCTTGGTAAATTGCGCTGCTCCCGCGCTCTCAGGACACGATCCTTGAAAATTGCACGGCGCCCGCGCTCACAGGGTCACTGTCCATTGGAAATAGCGGTGTTTGGGCACTCCCAGGGCCACGATCCCGTCCCGCTCTCTCCGCGGGAATGAATTCATTGATTTGGTGTGCTAACATACCACGTGGGGGGACGTATTTCGGTGGAGTCCCCCGTTCAAAAGTAATTCACGTTTCGGTGCTGTGGATCACACAGGAGGTCCGTTCATTGCATCCCAAGGTGATATCGTGTTTCACGCTGCTCCCGTGCCGTCTGGTGCAATGCTTTTGTTGTTCTTCTCTGGGCCTCTTGGAGACTTCTCGCGGCCATTGCTGGGTCCGCCTCGAAGAACGAACGGCTCAGGATGGGTCCCGTGGGAGGTTTTTAGGATGTTTTTGAGCGGACCCAGGCTACGCGGGAGAGCCTCGTCCAGAGGCTTTACTGGCCCAAGATGGAAGATTGCCAGCCTCCCAGCTGATGGGAGGTGGACTCCACCATGCCATGAGCTGGTCAAACATGCGGGGGCGAAGGAGAATGAGGAGGACGCGGACGGGGACGATTGGCCCTCCCCCGAAAGGTCATCCCGCAGGAGCTCCCCGCACCACCGCCCAAGGCCAAGTCGGCGGCGCGGCCGCGGCAGCGGATGTTGATGGAGAAATGGGTGATCGGAGGTTGGTAGAGAATGCCCGCCCCGCCCAGTCGATCGGCGAGTGGCCCCTTTTGCGGCTCCCGAAAGGGGCCGCATCGACTGCGGGCCTGCGCCCACCAGGTCTGGTCTCGGTTTGTTTTCACCGAGGGGTGCTCTGCTATAGGGTTCCCTCCCGTGCCGCCCGAATGCCCGATGCGCAACGCAGCAGGTCCGCCGTAGCCGCAACCGCAGCTCGGATCCGAGAGACGCCGCCCATGCAAGGTATTTGCCGATGGGGTCCTCGGCCCGCCCGCGCCGTGTGGCCGCCGGCGCCGCGGGAAAGCCGTGTCTTGCCAGAGGCCGAGTGGGGGATCGACTGCAGGATGCTCGAATCCCAGATTTGAGGCACTTTCGCTCACCATGCGAAGCACGCGTCGAGTCTCCGTAGATCTGCGAGCAGCCTTCATCTTGTCTCAGCTTTGACCAAGCAAAATCAAGCTTGGGGTGCATCAATTTTGTAGTCGATCCCCGGCGGTCGGGCCGAGGTGTCGGATCGAGGGCGGTTCGGGGCGGGCACCCCGGTGCTCTTCGTGCTTGCCGGACTCTCTTGTGCCTCCCTGGGGGAGGGTGCCCTCCGAGTGCTCTTCCGCTTGGCCGGCCAGGGTGTGCTTCTCGTGCCAGGCCTGGCCGTGCTCGAAGGGAGGGGGGGCTCTGCCCGCCCCCCGAGGTGACGCTGGGGGCGAGGCACGGCGCCGCGGCGGCGGAGCTGGTGGAGGCCGCCCGCCGCGCGCTGTCCCGCCCGCGGGCCCCCCGCCGGTGCGAGCCGCGGGCGCAGTCGGCCTCGCCCCCGAGGCCAGGGGTGCGGCCGGCGTCGCCGAAGAAGCAGAGGCTCGCCACCGGGCAGGAGGAGGAGGAGGAGGAGGAGGAGGAGGAGGAGGAGGAGGCGGAGGAGGAGGAGGAGCAGGAGGAGGAGGAGGAGGAGGAGGAGGAGGAGGAGGAGGCGGAGGAGGAGGAGGAGGAGGAGGAGGAGGAGAAGGAGGAGGAGGAGGAGGCGGCTGCGTGGGCCTTTTGTGGCCGTCGGGCCCCCGAGAGGCCCTCCGCGCCCCCCCCCCGGGAGTGTCGGGGAACGGCTCAGGATGAGGACCTGGTCCTGGGGCAAGGCCCCAGGGTCCAGGACCCGGTTCCCACAAGACTTGTGGAGGACGATCAATGGAGGAAGCGTGCTGCCAAGTAATTTCCAGATGTCTAAAACATGTGGTAAACATGCTTTAAACATGCTGAAAACATGTTTTGAACACTTCTCCGACACTGTAAACACATTTAGAATTCGATGATAGGACTGTTAGGGTGTCCACTGTCGTGGCATCCACAACACAAGACCCGCTTCCCCTATGCTAAGCAGGTGCAGCGGCAATGACGAGGACGACTCCGGCGACTCCGGGGACGACGAGGGCGGCAGCGCCATCGTGCGCACGAAGGTGTCGTTGTGATCGGAGAGGCCGACCTGCGGATCGATACCTGAGGTCGACGGAAAACCGGCATAAGCATAAATTTTCCGATCTCCGTGTGGATTTCTTGGACGTGCAGGGTCCGCCTGGCCCAGGCGGCGCCTCTGGCGCATGCCCTAGCGCGCTCCGCGCTCCGGGGAGGCTGGTTCAACACGGATCCAAGACATCCGCGCGGACCTGCGTACATTTATGTTTATGCAGTTTTTTGTCCCTTCAGGTAGCACCATCGTAAGCACGAACGTGTCGTTGTGTTCGGAGAGCCCGACTTGTTCATTGCTCTCTTAGGGTTTCTTCGAACGCGCGTCCGCTGCGACTGGGCACCGCACTTAGTTATTTAGTTCTTTTTTTGTACAGATGCTCTACTGATGTGGGAGCAGTCGCCAGCTCATACCGAATGGATTTCCATCGCTTGTCACTCTTGAAGGTCGGTCCTAACGGAAGCCCCTTGCTAGCAGAGACGAGCGATATTTCTCCTCGAGCCGCTGCGGATTTATATTGCATGCTTTGTTTAGTTGCACATGCTGGCTATCAGCTTAGGCATCCTGCTGGCAGTCGTGTCAGTCAGTCCCCACCGTCCGCATCACTTACAGCGGCCCATGGCAGTCCACGCCTTCCTTTTGCATCGTAGCTAGCTTGTCAGCAGTACAAGCTTTGCGTGGAGTCTTGGGCGGCCTCAGTGTCCAGTTCATCCTCGGGAGCACCCACGAGGGGGGTGAGGAGCAGGGCCAGGTGGACATCGCGGCCGGGGCCATGGGATCTCCCAGATGTTTCTTGGCCCCTTCTTCTTCTTTCGAGGCGCTCGCTGGCTCCTACTCGTCCGCGCACATGCCTCGGGCTACGATGCGAGAACCCCCCTCCTCCCAGCCCCCTCCTTCGGCGCACCCCAGCATTCTGGCTCGTGGCTTCGCGGGACCCTGTGCTGCCACCTCAGCGCAGCAGCAGCTTAGGCCCAGCGGCACTCGTTGTGGCTCACTTGCGCACGGGCCTCCTCGTCCAGGCAAGCGGACATGCGATCGACGTCGTCTCTTGTCCTCGGCTATGCGTCAAGCGTGACCCTTCGCTGGGGTGACCTTTGGCGCACGGCTTTCCGGGGGGGGGGGAGGCTGGGCTCCCCTCGGACAGGCCCCTCTGGGTCTCCCTGGCCTGCGAGGCCGCCCAAGACGGCCGACGGAAGGGTTCGCCAAGGCCCCCAGCACACCCAAGGCCCCCAAGCACGGCAGGAGACCTTTGCAGGTCCAGAGCAGTCCCCCCCTACTCCTCCTCGCCCCCCTCCTCGCCCCCCCCTCCCCGATCCTCGAGGAGAGGCAAAAGTCGACCGCGACAACGACGAGGAGGACGACGGCGACGACGCGGCGGGGAAAGCGCGCTGCGCCCGCGGCCTCCCTGGCGGGCCCGTCGCCCTGCGACGAATCTGATGCGTTCGGCGTCGACAGACACCGCCCTCCCATTTGCCGCTTCTCCTCACCGTCGGAGTAACTCACCGCCCACCAACCACCCCAACCCAACCCGAAGGCCCCGATTTGCCCTCCATTTCCTGTGTGGGGGGGTCGGGGAACACGGAACAAACAACACATATGAAGCCAGTACCACTCCCAGCCCGAAATTCGGGCGAAATTCGGGTCTTCGGGTTGGGTTGGGGTGGTTTGGTAGGAAGTCACAAGCAGTCCTGCCGCAGGCGGCGATGTTCCGAAACAACTTCTGCAGGCGTCCAATACGGCCCGGGATGGCTCCACAGAGCCTCAGAGCAGCCCTGGAGGGCACATGCCCCCCCCCCTCCCCCAGGAAAGCCCGCGGGAGCCCTGCGCAGACCCAGAGCGGCCCCTGTGCTCCTCGCCGTCATCACCCTGATCGTTTCCCCGCGCATTCCTCCGCCGCCCTCTGTGCAAGCGCCCTGCGGGCACCTTGTGGATGTAGCTGCGTTGCATGCTGTGTGTGTGTGTGTGTGTGTGTGTGTGTATGCGTGCGTGTGCGTGTGCGTGTGCGTGTGCGTGTGCGTGTGCGTGTGCGTGTGCGTGTGCGTGTGCGTGTGCGTGTGCGTGTGCGTGTGCGTGTGCGTGTGCTGTGTGTGTGTGTGTGTGTGTGTGTGTGTGTGTGTGTGTGTGTGTGTTTGCGCGTGTGTGTTTGCGTGTGTGTGTGTGTGTGTGTGTGTGTGTGTGTGTGTGTGTGGTTGTGCTTGCGAATGCGAAGAATCAGGGCACCAGATCCAGCTGCCTACGGCAAGTCCCGCCACCGTGCCTGGGTTGTGGGCTCTAAGCATATCGGATGTTCGTTAGAATCTCGTGGGATGCTTCTCGGGGGCCTCTTGGAGGCAGTTTTGAGGCCTCTTGGGGGCCTTTTGTGGCTTCTTGGGGCCTCTTGGGGGCCTCTTGGGGCCTCTTGGGGGCCTCTTGGGGGCCTCTTGCGGCCTCTTGGGGGCCTCTTGGGGCCTTCTGGGAGTCCCTTGGGGCGGAAGGCTCGGATTTTTGGTTCGTGTTCCCTCTCTGACGCTCCTTTTTGGGGCAATCTTGGGGCCCTCTTGGGCCGTCTTGAGCGCTTCTTGGACCGTCTTGGGGTGCTCTTAGGCCGTCTTGGGGCCCTCTTGGAGGCCGTCTTGAGCGCCTCTTGGGTCGTCTTGTCTTGGAGGCCTCTTGGGCTGTTTTGGGATGGTCTTGGGGGCCTCTTGGGTCCGAAAGCCAGAAAGGCGAGAACATCAGAATCCTTCAAAAACGAACGGATCATCAATGATTCTTAGGCTTACGCCACACTGCCGACCCCTTTGTTTTTTTGGGGGGCTTCCTGGGGGTCCCTGGGGCACGTTGGGGGCGTCTTGGAGCCGAAGGTTCGAAGTGTCCGTTCCGGTTCTCCGTCCAGCTGACTGGGAGTCTCTCTGTCCTTCTTGGAGCTCTCCTGGTGTCAAAAGGCGAACCTGCCGAAAATATATTTTTCGCTCTTTGTGCTTGGGGTCTTTTGGGGAAGCCTCTTGGAGGCATCTTGGGGGCCTCTTGGGGCCCCTAGGGGCCTCTTGGAGGCCTTTGGGGTGCCTCTTGGGGCCTCTTGAGGACCTTTTGGGGGCGTCTGGACGCTTTTCGCCTTTTTGGAGCCTCTTGTGGCCTCCTGGGAGCCTCTAGGGGCGGACGGCTGGAATGTTTGTTTCGTGGTCCCCCTTTCGGGCCCCTCTTGGGGCCGTCTTGGACCACTTTTGGGTCGTTTTGGGCGCCTCTTGTGCCGTGGTGGGGGCTTCTTGGGAGCCTATGGGGCCGTCTTAGGGCGGTCTTGGAGGTATCTTGGAATGGCTTCCGCGCTGTGAAGGCGGAAAAATCGTATGTGCTAGACATGTATTTTTCTTCAGGGAATTTGAAGATTGTGGCCTCTTGCAGGCCTCCTGGGAGGCCTCTTGGAACGTCTTGGCGGCCTCTTGCGCCGTCTTCGGCCCATGTTAGGCGTCTTGGAACGATCTTTCGGCACATGTTAGGCGTCTTGGAACGATCTTTCGGCGTCTCGGGGCCCTCTTGGACGGTCTTGGGGACCTCTTGGGTGGCCCCAGGAGCTGTCGTGGACCTCCAAAAGGGGCCCGGCTGGCCGGACGGCCCCCCCCCTCCAAATCGACCGGACCGGGCTCGGGGGAGGGGTTTGGGGAGGCGGAAGCATCTCACACGCCGATGATCCCCAAGGGGTCGGCAGATTTTTGCCCTTCGGGGCCTTCTTGGGAGACCTCGTGGAGGCCTCTTGGGGCGCTATGGAAGCCTCTTGCGCCATCTCGAGGTCATCTTGGGCGTCTTCGAGCGATCGTTTGGCAACTCGGGGCCCTCCTGGACCGTCTTGGGGGCCTCCTGGGCCGTCATGGAGGCCTTGGAGAGCCCCAGGGAGGGCCATGGCCGCCCAGGGACCCCCCAGGAATATGGCTGGTGCGCGCGGCGAGGTGCGACCCGGAGGTCGGGGGTGCCTGAGGAGATTACAGGAACCCTGCCAGACAGCACTTGACATTCTAGGACGCCTCAACGTGCTAGGGGGCACGGTTGCGGATAACACGTACATCCATATGTTTTAATGAATGGCATCATCTAGTCACCCTGACTCGTCGTAAACGCAATCTGCACGAATAGGACGAAACAGATGGAATCAAGCACGTGTGCCATATAGCTACGTGTAATACCAAGATTGCATGGGCACCGCTTTGCACGACCCCGACGCCACATGCGATAGGCGCTACGCGTAGCATATTCACACCCGATTGACAACCAACGAGACATCACGGCACCGTTTTGGCCAATCACGCCACTATGGAAGGGTGCCCGCATGCATAATCTTTTGTTGCAACACAGTTTCATCACTAGTTCGCACAGCATATGTTATACTGTATACACATACATTATGCACTCGTCCAGTTCCATGCGGCAGCGTAATTGAGCAACATGGTGCCTCACTTGTTGTTGTTTTTCGTGGCGACACTCCATATGTTGAACACGCGGCCGCGTCCATGTGGCAGCGCGGTGGGGCAATGGGGCGCCCGCGCAACATTCACATGACACTGTTATGATGTTGCACTGCTTCTGTCCCATGTGCATTTCAGTGCACCGCGCCTTCAGTTTCCAGTACACAGCTGAGCAGTTGACTGGAAGCCCCTTCAATGCCTTGCGGCGTTTCCTCCAAGACTCAATCGGTCGATATCCCTGTTGGGGTGGCTGGTCCTTGGTTTCCAGCCCTTTTTTGGGCTAGCGCTTGATCCACCGATCATTTTTCTTGTTCGGTTGACGCATGGCTTCCAGCGCGTTGGATTCCTAAATCCAGGGGCCAGCCGAAGTTGTCATGTTTAGCAATATCGAACACATGTTGCTTACCCCAAATCTGTTGCCCACCTGGCAACTTTTTTTTTATATATATATATATAAAGAAACATTGTCATTGTGCATTGTTCCCTGTTTTTGATGTTCTGGGATCAAGTGTATTCCATAATCTGGGGATTGTTTTCACCAGTCAGGAAGACAAGCCTGGAGACATTCAGA